CATAAATTACAGCCTTGGAAACCCTATACAGGATGGCAATGAGCTGGAATTGAGTTGACAGCACATCACCACCACCACATACTAATGACGTAATGAAATTGCTGCTTTTTAGTGTCATGGACTTGTTTCTGACTCATAGAAACCCTGTATAACAATTCCAAGGAGTGGATGATGAGTTTGAACCATTAACCTTATAGTTAGCAATCCAGTGCTCATCTTACTGTGCCATAAGAGACAGAACCGACTCGATGGCACACCTCTTTCACCACCACATACTAACGATGATGGTGAAATTAACTATGTACACAAAAATCTGACAAAATCCCTTCAGTACATTTCTAACTCAAGAATTTTCAAGCAAAAAAGTGCCTGGACTGCTTTGTTTAAAAAAAAAAAAAAAAGCCTTAATTTTTCTGTTATTTAATCTTTCATAATGTTTGTGCCACAGAATTTATTAGATACAGTTCATAAATAGGCAAATGCTAAGAACAGGAGTGTATACATGGTGACTAGAAGGAAAAAGATGATATAGAAATGAAAACAATGATGATCCTAATTTAATTTACAATCTAAAAATGAAAATGTTTTGCAGTTATGGAACAAAGGGAACTCCCTCTTTGATATAATATTCTGTGTAATCATAGGTTTTAAAAAATCTCAATTATATTTTGATGATGCAAATAAAGTAATGATAAAGCTAAAACCCATTAGAAATGAATCTGAAATTTTATGTTCTAGGTTCACATGACAGCTGATTAGGTTACTTATATTCAGAGGACAAAGTATTTTTGGTACACACACAATTTCTAACTCATCACCCCTTTAATCTATGTAGAAGACTTTAAAAAAAAAAAAGACTATTTTTTCTGGGTAGGAGTCCCTGGGTGCTACAAGTAGTCAAGTGTTGGACTTGTACCTCACCCAAAGGCACCTCCTAAGGCCTGGCAATCTGCTTTCGAAAGGTCAGAGCCTTGAAAGTCTTGTGGAGCTGCTCTATTCTGGACTGCCAACCAGGTCTGTGGTTCAAGCCCATCAGTCACTTTGCAGGAGAAAGATGAGGCTTTCTGCTCTCCCCCACAGATTCAAAGCCTCAGAAGCCCTTTGCAGGGTTGCTGTGAGTCAGGGGCACTAAACATTTCTGCAAACATGGGGTCACTATGAGTTGGAATCTACTCAATGCAAACTAGCAGCAATGTTCCTGAGTCTGAGTGTGACAGCATTTGTACCATATTGGACCCAGTTTAGTTTTTTTAAATTTGGGGGGGAAGGTGGCACCCATTTACTTTAACTGATACCTTATTAAAAAAGAAATACTGTGCTTTACTTAAGTGAGCGTTTACAGAGCAAATTAGTTTTCCAATCAACAGTTCATATACATATTGTTCTGTGGTTGCAATATCCACAACATGTACAGAACTCTATTTCTTCCCTGAATTTCCATTTGTCTTCTCATCTTTGGTTTGAGGCAAATGCTGCCCTTTTGGTCTCATACAATGGATTACTCTAAGGAGCGCTCGTATCTTTGTATAGATCATCTAGTTCTTAATAATTTCTGCTCAATATAGTAAAATACGTTTGTTGTTTTAAAAGGCAGCCAGTCAAACGTCAGTTATGTCTGGTTCTCAATAAATCGCTTGCTCTGTGAGCCTGGAACTGGCATTTGACTTTTAGTTTTAATTCTTTTAAGAGTCTTTGACAGCGCAATGATTAAGTACTTGGCTGCTAACTGAAAGGTTAACAGTTTAAACCCTCTGTGGGGAAAAAAGACCTAGTGATCCATAAAGATTACAGCCCAGGAAAACCTTATGGGGCAGGTATACTCTGTCCTGTAGGGTCACTATGGGTTGGAATTGACTTCAGTGGCACACAACACCAGCTGCACATTCTTTCAAGAACCCCTTCCTGCAGTTTACTTAACACCGAAGACCTGCCTAGATCCTCTGGCCCTAAGTCCTTTGCTCTTTTCACATCATATCGTGACTGACAGTATGAACCAGTTTTAAAAATGTAGACAAACTACAAACAGTCTAAATTCAAACTTTCCCCAAGTTATTCATATTAAAAGAACAAACATACTAGATGTTGTTACATCACCTACAACTTCTAATCTTAAAGTTTTCATTAATTAAGTCCTGGTTCTTCCTTTTAAAGACCTTGAGTTCTACATCAAGTATGTTGCCCAAGTGCTGCATTCTGAAAGCACAAGGAAACCTGATAAATTCTTACAGCGCTCTCCCCCAGTTTCTAAACCTAATTTCCCCACTCCTCATAAAAAACTATCACTCTCATTTCCCACCCTAACCAAACCATTCAAGCCAGTTTTAAGGGTTGTGGTGGCTCAGTGGTAGATTTCTCACCATCCATCAGGACAGTGTCTGGTGCTGTGGACTGCAATGAGCTGGACTTCAAGGATGGTGGTCCAAATTCACCACCTGCTCCTTGGAAACCCTATACAGGGTTGCTACTAGTTGAAACCTACTCAATGGCACTTAACAACTAGATTGCAATTCTAACTGACCTTGCAGTCCAGTGCTTATCCTACAGCGCCACACACAGGCAGCTAATACACACAGCTGCCAGTTGTCTGTTAGTGGAGGCTTGGGTGTTACTGTGATGGTGAGGTTTCAGTGAGGCTTCAATATTACGATGGACTAGAAGACCTGGCAATTTACCTCCAAAAGCCAACCAATAAAAACACTAGGGAGCACTAAGAATCAGATTGGCAACACCTGGGGATGGTGTAGACCTGGGCAGCCTTCTGTTCCATTGTGCATGGAGTCACCGTGAGTTGGGGACCAACCTGATGGTAGCTAACAACATCCTTTACTTGAAACACACCCTAGTAATTCTTACGTAGAATTTACTTATATTATACATTGTCAGTATTTTCCTAGAGTTTTCTATTCTATGATTTAATGTCTATTTTTAATAACTTTTATTTTGTTACCTCCAATGACCATATAAGGATGAACAAAGAAAATTTCTGTTACTTTTTTATAAGCAGTGGATGCTCACTAGAAAGTTATGACAAATACTTATTATAATTAGCTGATTTTATACAGTTTATGTTGTTTAGAGCAGTTGAGTAGGCTCCGACTCACAGAGATCCTGTATAGGGTTTCTAAGGAATTAGTTGGTAAGCCTGAACTGCCAGCCCTGCAGCCAAATGCTTTATCCCACAGTGCCATACTAGGATAATTTATATAAGAAGTATTATTTTGAAATATATATATACAAGCACTTGAAAGATAACCCCAGTTACCAGTAAAGGTAATAAAAAAATCCTGACAGCAGAACCTGACAAAAATCTTTATCAAGGGACAAGTGCAACATAATCTTTTTTAGGTAACATGTGAAGGTCTCAGGCCCTAATCTTGAATTGAAAGTCTAACCATCTCCTTCAAAGAGAACACAATTTTAGGACTGGAAAAAGTTTAAATAGAGCTATCAGAAGCTGTAGAAACGTAATGTCTTAATCTCTTTAACTTTCTGTTAAACTGCAGACTATCACTTGGCATTTTCTCTTAAGATTATTTCTGAGTCGAACAAAGCAGATGCCTGACATCCTAGTGGAGTTAACAATTACCAGGAGAAAAATCAAACTCAACAGCTTTTAAAATGGCAGCCAGGAAAGCCTAGATAAACTAACATGCACGAAATCACCTGAAAATACCTAAAAGTAAGTAAAACAGTAGCAGGGAGAAACAGGGCTCACTGGGTAACCTGTCACCCCTTGTCTCTATTGATTATTAATAAAAAGAAAGCCCTGGACCACAAGGTCGGTGGTTCAGACTCCCCAGCCACTGCTTGGAAAGCCTATAACAGGGTCGTTCTGGGTCGGAATCGACCCGATGGCACTCAACAACCATCTTCCTGCTGAGCTAAATCAGTTTTCTTACTGCCCCTTACTGTTCTGGCCCCCACCGCCTTAGCACTATCACATCTGATACAACTGAGGCACTGCAGGAATTCAGGGGAGCCTTCGCAGGGTTCACCCAGGTGGGCTCTGATGAGAAGTACTGAAGGACAACACAGACAAGACAGACCTACATCCAGATAAACGGTACCCAGAAAACTGGATGGCGCCCCTTCTCCATCCTTACACCTGGCCCTTTCAGTGAAGCCTCCTTAGCTTCACTCCCCACCCCACCCCCCATCCATAACTTGCCCACCAGCATCCCTATGGCTTTGTTTGTTTCTTTTTGTATAAAGGATCTCGTTTTACGGTTACTAGTTCCTTGCAGTCTCCATGACATTGCGCTAGGAGCTAGGGCAAAGATACAAAAAAAGCCTAGGGTAAGCACCTACTTAGGCATCTCAGATTCCCCAACACCTGGCACGGCAGTCTACATGGAAGAGGCTACGCTGAGGAATGAATGGTTTGCTATTTCGACGGGCAAGTGGGGCAGTGATAGGGAAGAAAAGGGAGGGTGAGAGATCGGACCTCAAAACGGGCTTACAGACTCGCCACTTTCGACCTCCCCACCACGGAACAGAGCCAGACAATTTCGGCTTGAGTACGGCTCTCGGTTTGCTCCTAACAGTTACAGTTAACAAAATATTGCAAAAATCATCCTCGCCAGAAGACGTGCTCCAATTTGCACGGACATCTTGACAGTGTCAAAGGAACATTTAAAGCATCCAACTGGCAGGCCCCTTGCCGTTTCTATCTCATGGAAAGGCCTGAGAATGAACCTTCCTCAGCCCTCAAGTACGCACAGCTCAGGTTCTTCCCTTCCCTTCTCAACCCTCAGGAGTTCTCCACCCCCCATCCCCCCACCGTTCCTACGCAGGCCTTCGACTCTTGGCGTGTGGACCTCTTCAAACCTTTCGACCCTAATTACACAAGGGCGCCAATGTCTCAGCCTTTCTTTTGGTTCCACACGCTCAATCCTCCCCCTTTGGGTCGCCTCAGGCGCTTCTTCCTTCATCCACCCTTCTCGGCCTACCCCAGCCTTTAGTAGGCCTCAACCCTCATCCACTCCGCCATTGTTATTTACATCGTCGTCTGGGGAGGCTGAACGCTTCACCCCGTGCGGGTGGGACTCCCTGGCAGCACTCATCGTTGCGGAAATCCAGACCAGAGATACCGAACCCACTCGCAGTTCTTCTCAGCCGTCGCGCCAGCAGCCGGCAATCTACCCCCGGCCTCAAAAGCGCCTCTCCAGAACGCAGAGCTACTCCGGACCTTTTCGACCACAGACGTCACTGCCGCGGTCGCTCGCCATCCCGGAGCACTCTGGGAGTTTTAGTTTTCTAACTCCCTCCACACCCGCCGAACAAAGGGGATGGGTGAGTAATTAAAATTACAACTCCCAGGAAGCCTAGCGGCGCAGGTCGCACAGCGTGGCGGGAATGCCCCCACCCTGAAGCCCCGCCTTCGTCGGCTGGCGGAAAGTGCTTTCCGGCGGAGGGGTATGTCCGTGAGAACTGGGGAGCAAAGCTTCGTTGCCTTAAAAAGCGCCTCAGGCTGCATTTTTACAGTTAATTGTGAGGCGCTGCCCGGCAGGCAAATGCATCCCGTCTAGTTAAACAGTACGTTTAAATTCAAAGTTTTGTGAGGCTTATTGAAGTCTCAGTGCTCTTCCTGCAGGACAAAAAAACCTTAAAAAAAAAAAAATGGCTCCCACTTTTCCCATCGTGTTAGCTCAGAAGATTTCTAAGTGAGCTGCGTTGCCCTTTTCTCGAAGATCCTGACGTATATCGCTTTCTCACTCTTAAGCTAGGGTCCATCTAAGGAAAGTCTGAGCGTTTCACTCTGCTTACTGTGAGGTGGGAGTGACACTCCGACCTCACTGCTCGTCTGTCGGCAATTTTATCAACCTGGCCCTTCAAGTGAATTTCATCGCTGCTCGAAAGCCCTGTATATCTGTTTTCTTGT